CATGGATTTAATGCATCTCCATGAGGAGGTCCCGATTGGCCAAAACGTCATTTGGCCCTGCCCCCGTGCCATTTTAGCCAATCCAATGCTTTCTCTATGCCTCTGGGAAAGCATTGGATTGGCTAAAAATTGGCCATCTTGATGATGTCACAAAGGGGGCAGAGCCAGCGCTGCAGCGCTGGAAATAACGTGAGTTTTAAACTTTTATGGGGGGGTTGACTGGGGGGGGGGGGAGAATGAGGAGAGCAATCCACCTAAATGGTGGGTTAAACACTATAGGGTCAGTAATACAGGTTTGATTACTCTGCTTGCCTGGTGGTGTAGAGGCCAATCCTCATGGAGATGCACGCCCAGTGATAATGCAATGTCAACAAACTCCAGGCAAAACATTATCTTCTGCTTTTTGTTTTTGTTTGGAGAGCTCTAACTGAGGATAACTGGCAGTGCCCAGTAGTGGAATCTTAGGAGGAGAGGCATTCTTACTCAAACCATTAATCTTATTTTAATTTAGTCATTTTTGGTCTCATATTTGCATTTCCATGTATCCAGTTTATTTTCAGCTGGGCTATTATGGCCAAAAATGTGAAATCCACTTGTTTCTTGAGGTTGTTCCTGATTTGCCTTCCAGAGAGCGCCATTCCCAGTGCAGCCTACAGGCGCACTGAGAACTTTTTTATACAACTAAGATACCCCCTTCTATCCGGACTACTAGTCTTGTGGCACCTGTAACACTTCAAACATGTGTTGCTCCCACCATTTATGTCAAATATACACTGAACTTTCACCTAGGGGGCAGCATAAAGTGGACTTTCACACCTAGGAATTGAGGGAGCTCCTCCAGGAGATCAAGATATTTAAAGAAAGACCCAGGCAGACAATTAATGTAAAGACCTTGAACTATACCTGAGAAAGACAGAAACCCTGTACTGATGTTGTGGATACTCCAACCTGTAGCTGGGAAACTCTTGATTTTCTTCAGAGCCACAGCTTATTCTTCTGGATTCATCCCTTTGACTCCTTGCTCTAGAACAGAAGATGTTGAGGGCTCTGCTCAAAGCACCTTACATTCTAGAGCAAGCATGTCAAACTCAAAGGCTAGCATGGGCCACATGAACAAGTTTTAAGTTTATGTGGGCCGCAAAAAACCCCCAAAACCTTAAAATGTTCATAAATTCGTAGGTTTGTTTTGAAAAGTACAGTATATTAAAAAAACAACAAAACAAAACAAAACAGCAGCACCCCCCCTCTACTAAACCCTAGTCCCTCCGTTTGTGCTAAATCTCAGCACCCCCCCTGTACTTAATCCCAGCCGCCCCCCCACAAAAAACAATATTAGCCAACAAGCAGACTCCACTCACATTGCCGCTGCCAGTATGCAACTCCAGAGTCCAGCCTCTGTATACCCCCAATGGCGCCATCCGCATCCTATGCCAAATGGATCCTCCTGCTACTCCTTGAAAACCTGTGAAGGTGGAGCACGTTGACGTCACATCAGAATTTGATGTGGCGTTGCGTGCCTCCGTGCACCTCCAGGTCCTCCACTGTCCAGCTGTTGGGAGCTGGTGTGGGGCCTCTCCCTGATCTTCTCTTGGGAGTTCGGTCTTCCTGCTCCCTCACACATGCAGTTTAGTGATGCCGGGTGCCGGAATGACATCATATTCCGGCACCACTACAGAGGGCACACGCGAGGGAGCAGTGAGGAGCAGGAAGACTGAGCTCCCGAGAGAAGATCAGGGACCTCTTCTCTCTGGCCGGGTAATTTTGGCAGAGTAGGCACCTGCAATGTGGGGGGCGAGCAGGTGTCTACCATGCTTTAGTACCACGCTATATAAATAATAAAATAATAATTGTGGGCCGCATGCGGCCCGCGAGTTTGACATGCTTGTTCTAGATTGAGTGTGTTAAAATGGCCTAAGAGGTAAGAAAGAGTAGGATGTATTTAATGTATGGCAAAAAGTAGGTTACTAGAATACCTTACAGCGAAGGATTAATTTATTGGATGTATTGCGGGAATGGAAGCAGGGTGGGTTACCTATGTGCGGAAAGGAACAGCTATTAGCAGTTTCATTGATATGCTTTCCTAAACAAAAAGGAGTTTTTAATGATCTCTTGAATGAACTGAGAATATATCCAAGAATCTCAATCTGGAAGAGCAGGGTATGAATATTTTTAAGCAAAGCAAATCAGTTCCAGAGTAGCTACCTATTGACAAATAAGGCACAGAGGATTCTTTATTTCACATATTTACAGGTTACCTCCATCCACCTAGTAACACAGATGTTTGTCTATACTATTCATTGTTTCAGTCCCTCTGTTTGAGGAAGTAATCACTCTGTTGATATTAAAGGGCAATGCCATTGTGATAGTTATAATGTTTTAGATTGTGGGTGCTATTCCCTGCTTCTTGGTCAAATAGTGTTTGAGCAGTTTGACTAAAACCAGGGGTTCCTTAGGCACCCATGCCCAACCCCCATTCACTGTATTGCGAATGCTGACGTTACAGTTCTGCATTAATAATATTAAATTCAGCTATATATTTCTGACATGCTCAGCCAATCAATGCCATCCAAATATGGATTAATAATTTAATAGAATGCTGTATTACTTAGCATAGACTCAGTCTGTTTTATTTTGTAATATCTCTATTCACTTGAGTCTCTAGTGTGAGCATGCTACGCATAGCATTTTTCGCAGTAACAATTTTTACTTGGTCTTCGGAACCATCTTTGGTGGTCTCAGTCTTTGCGTGTTTGGTGGGGGTATTGGGTTGTTAGCGTTTATTTTTAAGCAATGTGATTAAAGACTGAAACATCCTGTGTGGCTTTGCAGCGATTCATTGCACATGATCACATGCAACGATAGCTGGGCATCTTTCATGATGTGGGAACAATAATCAGGTCGAGCACACAGTTAAAGAAGACAATTACACGGTTCATCAACTTGATTCTAAAACTGCAGAGTTTCAATGTATAGCACTTTGTGCTTCTCTCCCTTAGTAACTCCTTCTCTCAACATTTTTATTGCAAACATACAATGTAACACAGGGATAGTGTTGGCGCATCCCCTCCAGTCTTAGCAGGTCAAACCCCTGTTCTCCAGGTGTGCAGGTCAGTGAAGCATAGTACTGACTGTCTAAACAACGCATTTCACGATCTACCTAAGAGATGGTGCTGTGCCTTAGTCAAGCCTTTGACGGATAATATGCCTTTTTGAGGTTTCACCCATTTTTTAGGAAATATCTAATCTCTTCTCACATAATAACTAGAGTGAAGGTAACTTATGGTAACTGTGCATACAAAAAGATACACTAAATACAAGCATTAGGGAGAATTTAAAAAGTGCTATGATCAGAAATGTGGTGCAAGATTGTAAAGGAGAAGACATCTCCAATAAAATTTACCCTGATACGGTGCAAGGATATTTGGTTACAAAGGCGAATATTTTACATGTAGGCACCCCCTCTGCTGGACCACTTTTCTGTTCCCACTTTCATAAATCTCTCTTCCTTTCATTTTAGGGATAGGCAAGACTTCCACTGTTTGTTTGTTTTTCTGCAAATGTGTGCACACTTTAGTGAATGAAGTTCTGCCTGAATGATTGTGGACGATACAGGAAATTACTTTTAGCTTGCCTGAATTGCCATGGTGAAAGCCAATTTTTACCGTTTCACATAAAATGCTGAAAATAGTCAACAAAACATAACTTCCCTTCTTTTTGGCAAATATAATTCTACACCTAGGAAATGTACACAATTGTAAGAATTGTAAGTGGAATTCTCAGTTCTTAACCTTTCAGGCAGGAAATCTTGCTTCTTCCCTAATTGACAGACGCAATTCTTTAAAATCTCAATTGACGCATGGATTCGACGTAATAAAAGCAATGACAGGTCCAGTAAACTGATAAAGCACTCAATATTTGGCAAATTATGATTAGAATGCTGTAATGCAAGAACCACAGATATCTCAGCCCTTTTAAAGCCCAATTGGCTATCTGCGTGACACCAGCTGGCAATAGCTGATGGTAGTTGTAGTCCAACAACAGCTAGAGGATTTATTTTACCTTTCCTCAACTCATCCAAGCATTCTATATGTGCAGTTCACAGACTCCAGTATCTCAACAACTCCAATTATGTTCAGACATCTCAAGACACTGCTACAAGCTGGAATGCCCGTCTCTGATTCATAGAACTCCACAACCAGTTCATCAGGAGCGCCCTAAGGAACAATGCCATTCTATTCTAGTGATGGTTAATTTAGTTATCCAGATTTTCTTGAACTTAATTTCTCGTAAATCTTAGCCAGCTTTTACCCATCTCTGTTCTATGCCATTATCGCAATACTGACATTCAGAGCACTATGCTAAAATCCAAAGCCTAACTTATATCAAATACCAGAATAGCACCACCATTCATATGGACACTATACAGTTTGAGGATGGTCTGTGGCAATACAGGTCCATAAATACTAAGTGATGACAATATAGAATGTTAATGGTCCTGAACCCCTTTGTGACCAAATCGCTTTTCAATTTTCTTACCGTTTGGGACCAGGGCTTTTTTTACATTTCTGCGGTGTTTGTGTTTAGCTGTAATTTTCCTCTTACTCATTTACTGTGCCCACACATATTATATACAGTTTTTCTCACCATTAAATAGTCTTTTTAAAGATACCGTTATTTTCATCATATCAAATAATTTACTATATCAAAAATTATAAAATATGAAGAAAAATTATATATAAAAAAAAAAACAACACACTTTTTCGAACTTTGACCCCCAAAATCTGTTACGCATCTACAACCGCCAAAAAACATTTTGTGTGTGTGTGTGTCTGCATGTGTGTGTCTCTGTTTATGTGTATGTGTCTCTATGTATCTGTGTGTCTGTCTCTGTATGTGTCTAAACACCACCCAGGTGCAGCAATATATATTAAAATAAAGGTAATTACTTCCCTTATGTGTTAGGTCGTAACAAAGGATTCCTCAAATACAAATATAAAATACAAGATACACCTAGAAAAACAGAGGCAAAGAAAAATTCCCTATGAATTTTTCTTTGCCTCTGTTTTTCTAGGTGTATCTTGTATTTTATATCTGTATGTGTCTGTCTCTGTATGTGTGTGTCTGTCAGGGGTGTGTGTCTGTCTATGTGTTTGTGTCTATATATGTTTATTTCGGGGGGGCCCACGGAGCAGTTTCGCACCAGGGCCCCATGGATTATGTGTACGCCACGGTTTCAGGCAGTCCCCCTGCTGGCAGCACAATGGTCATCTATTGGGGGCCCTAATTTGCAGAGGGGGGGACTGTCTGGACTGTCAGACAGTCCCCCCATAGAAGAGGAAGACTGATAAAATAATATGGTAAATGGTTAATATATATGGAGGGAGGGTAGGGGTTAATTTTTTAATTTAAAATTTATTTTTATTTATTTCTTCACTGAGTGCCTTGACCCCTCAAAGCACTCAGCATAGGCAGAGCATAGGCAGAGCATCGGAAGCCTGCCTGCCGGGTGCCATGTGGAGTAACCCGGAAGTAAGGGTATTGCCTCGTGTAACCCCTGTGGACGTATCATGCATGTCCGCAGTCCTTAAGGACCTTTTTTTGTCGGACGTACCTGATACGTCCGCGGTCCTTCAGGGGTTAAAGGATAAACCATTCTAAAAAAGAACACCTATTATACACAGATGCATTTATCTGCAATACTATGAACAGAGCCGGACTGGGAAAAATATTCAGCTCAGGCTCTCTATGGTGCTGAATGTAGTTGGAGGCTAATTATAGGATTGAGTGTGCGTAGAGGCAGCTATTTGTGGTGTAGTGTGTATAAAGGAGTCTGTGGTGTACTATTTGTGGCTAGGAACCGTAGTGTGTATGTATTTCCACTGGGTGTCAAGTGTGTGTGTCTAGGGGCTGTAGAGATTGTGTGTGTGTGTCTCTGTCTGTCTAGCATTTGCAGAGAGAGATAGCGAGAAAGCATGTGTGTGTGTATTTATCTACGGGGTGTAGTTCTTCTAGAGGATGTAGTTTGCATGCTTGTCTATAGGGTCTGTAGTGTGGGTGTCTGTAAAGGCTGTAGTGTGTGTGTACAGGGGCTGTAATGTGCTTGTTTATGTACAAGGGGCTGTAGTTTGTGTTTAGGGACTATAGTGAGTGTTTTTGTGTCTAGAAGGTGTAGTGTATGTGTTTGTACATGGGGTTTAATGTGTGTCTGAAGGGTGTGTGTGCGCATCTTAGGGCTATAGTGTGGTAAGAGATGTATAATGTGTATGTAATGTGTGTATGTTAATATAGGCTGTAGTGTGAGTATGGGACTACAGTGTGCTTGTAAGTGTGTGTGTGTGTGTGTGTGTGACTGTATATAGGGGATTTTAGTTTTTATTTATGGAGTTATTGTGTGTGTGAGGGGGCACAGGGGTTCAGACTGCACAGGGGAAAAAATATTAATTTAAATAAATAATAAATAAAAAAATCAAACAATTAAAAATGACTATAAAGAAAAGAAGAGAAATATTTAACCCCCTCCATTTTGTTACCTTTGGCTAAGGAAGGGGGATATCAGGAGCACATCCTGGTGGTCCAGTGGGCACTTTCTGGCTGCCAGCACATTGATTCACACGAACTTCAGCAGTACTGAGACTGTTGCCATGGTAACCTGCAGAAACAGTCTCAGTAACCGCACCTCGTGAGATTATAGCACAGGGGTCCCTACCGGAGATGAGACTCGACACTCCCTTCGCCGCTCTGCATGTCTCAGTTAGGGGCCGGTGAGGGAGATCTCTGATCTCCCCACCTGCCCCTGAAGGAACTTTCTTACATATATAGGCCGCGCTCACTTGGCCATCACGGCCCTTGGCCATCACGGTTCACCGGGCATTTGCCTGGTTTGCCCGATGGCCAGTCCGGGCCTGACTATCAGTATATTACAATCACCAACAGAATCCAAAATGTTGTACGCACACGTTACAAGCATATTAAGGTTTTCATACACATAAGGGTTATGCAAAATTACCAAGGGTGTATGTTTTTAAAATATTTGGACATTTATTTATAATTCAATGCTATTCAAAAAAAACTTGCGCAGGCTCGATTGTATTACACCAGATTGCGTTATCACACGGTCTGATTTTTAAAACAAAACAATTAATGCGGATATAGAGGGCACAGAGGGATATTTCCGCCAGCGTAACACACTGGCCGGATCCCTAGTTTGCGTCTGTGAATTATCCGGATGAAGGAAAAGGGGGAAAAGAGCAGACGTGTCCCCAGCGGGAAGGGACCGTGCTAAGGAGAGAGAAAGGCATTAGGTCACATCTGCAGCTCTGTTCTGATCTTCCGCTGTGTGCAGAACAAACTATTTTTGTCTTTTGGTCATATCCTCTGTTTGCCAAAAGTGTTTCCTTCTGCCTTTCAAAACTAGCTCCCTTTTAAGGAAGGCAATTAAGGAACTGTCCAGTACTGTTCAAACTATACAACATTTATCAATTTAATTATAGAAAGCAAGGGACCCTTCACTATTTAAAATGGGTCTGGCTCACTTTAAATTATAGTGTTTAGATATTTAGCAAATAAAAGTAAATTATTGTTATTTTGCCTTTGATTTGGAGGGATGTGGCTGGGTTCAGTGAATTGAAAGAAAGTGCCCGGGTTCAATACAGTTAGGGAGAGTTAAGTACCAGATATGCTGGGAATGGAAATCCTAGAGAAGTGGGCTTTATATTAAAGGCTTACTCCAGGCACCATGGCCACTTAAGTGATTTAAAGAGGTCATGGTGCCTGGAGTGCAGGGTTTCAAAGTGAAATAAACCACTCTGCTGAGAATAACCTCTCTGCTGCTGGAGGTTGTACTCCAACTCCAGGAGCATTAAAAAGGTGTCATCAGCCAACCTGGAACTAAATCGGTTCCAAGATGTCTAATGTGAATTCTGTGCAAATTTTATTGGACACAATGGCTGAGAGCAGTCAACTGATGCTCTCAGCCAATGAATTTCGACTGCTGCAGTTTCTGAAGTAGTCAGAAGCACATCACTGGAACAACAGGGAGCATCGGAGCCCGACGGGGATCCATTTAAGGTGGTAAACCGTTGCCCATTACTAGGGAACCAGGTCAGGTTACTCCTACCATCATAACCACTACAGCTACATGATGCTTGGAGAAACGTTGTAGTTGTGCAGCTGTGGAAGAGGTAAGGCTAGAAATGTGGAGGAGTGGAGAATGAACTAGGAAGAAGTGAGAAGACAACAGTAGGGGCAGGATTGGAAGTAAAATATGAATTGGGGGAGTATAAAGTGAATAATCCTGATGTAACTCCAGTTAAAGTAAAACTATTTAATTTTTCACATGACACTTTGGTCTTTGTAATGAGAGCTTCCATACACTGTATGAAGACCTTATTTAGAGATAAGCTCAATAAAAATGTTATATGTAATATACGGTTTTAGAGTAGTTACAGACATTTATAGTAGGTCAAAGACACATTACGGTAAGTATTATTTCTGTGGAGCTCTGTTATACATTTAGATACAACAACAATATTAAGCTCCTATAGGAGAGGGACATCAGGATAGAAAAGAGGGACAGAGGGATTAGGGGCCGAAATTAGAACTGCCCCTCTTAAACAGGTACACTTGGAAGGTACTGTATGTTTAAAGGACAACTGTCATAACATATTCACTTTTTTAAAAGTTTATTACATGTAATGAAACAATGATATTTTTAAAATGGTATACATAGATTATTTTGAGAAAATTATATTTTTTTTATCTGGCTAAGATGCTATATTGGGTCAGTCCCTATGGTTATCTGACTAACTGTTGTTCATGGTGGTGACCAGGAAGCGCAGGTTCAGTATGACTCATTGTTCCCATGGCCAAACTGGGACAAAAATTAGACCTTGGCATTTAAAGGTAGAGCAGCCCAATATCGGTGGGGTCAGGGCCAGAGAGTGTTGGGTCATCAATGACATGCACACTTCCTAAAGTGGGAGGGGAGATGCCTCCTTGCCTCCCCCAAGAAAGCACTCTACTTTGAGGTCTGGGGAAAGAGCGATTCCTGCTTAAAAAGAAAATTGACAGAACCTCGAAACAGTCCAGATCTGAGGAACAGTGCAAGAGTGTTTCAGGGTGTCTTCTGATGGAACGAGTCCAGACGATCTGTAGAGGTTCTCAAGTGCAGCTGGGAAGCACAGTAAGCATCAACGGCCCTGCTCACAATGACAATAGCAATGACAATAGCTCCTTTTAGAGTTTCTTGGGATCAGGTCCTAGTCCAAGGGCAAGAAGCTGGCTGTGGCGAAACTGACCTCGCCACGTGTCTTTGGAGGGGGCTGCTTGCCCGCCTCTTGCTATGGACCAGACTTTATGTGAATGTGTTAACCCAGATAGCTATGCCATGGAGCCCATTCGTGTAGTTAAAGACTTCGGCTCCATGGCAATTGAACTGTGTGAATAGGATCTGAGCGCTATTCGGTAGTTTTGTGCGCTCAGATCCCAGCTATCTGGGGATATGTGAAATGTCTGTGTGTTATGTGTAAAAGGTGACTTTATGTATTTTAAAGTGTTTTATGTCTTTTTGCAACCATGTGCTCAATGGAGTCTGCCTCTATCCCTGGATAATTGGATTACTTTCCCCCATTGTCTCCAGGATAGAGGGCTCTGTAAAACCTGTTTGAGCCAGATAGCCATGTGCCAGCCAGGGCCCAAAAGATACTTTTACTAACTTTTGAACCCCTGGTCGGATTCATGCCATTTTTTAATATGTTGTTCCCCTGAATGGATTGATTGTGAATATGTAATTTTATGTGAATGTGATGTATGGTTTTAAAGTTATGAAAGTTGGGTAGAAAGTATGTTTTAACTGTATGTGTAATTGAGTTTCCTCTCAGGATAAGGGGAGGGAATATGTGGGATGTAACTGATATGTGATTGGTTGTTTTATACCTCCCTGTGGGCGGTCCTGTATGTGAAAGACTGTAATAAAAACCAGGCTGGGTGTGCCAGCACAGGAGTTCCTGTTTTAACCCTGAAAGTGAAGTGTCGTCTCATTATTGGGGGAAGGATTTATTGTATGCTGTTCCAGTTTGACTGCTAGGAG